CTAAAAAATCTTATGTGTCAATAGAATCAGATGGGGGTTCCAAAGGTGTACTACCCTTGGAAGTAGCTCGTACTTGTCTAAAAAGATTCTTTTGTCTATGAAAAGAACGTTCGATTTCAGGATCAAATGGAATGTAGCCTGATCTAGAACTCCTGAGCATAAACACAGATCTAAACAAACAAATATGAGAAACTGTCTCAAAGAACTTGTGTTCTCTTAGACAAAAGAAAATAATCTAGACTATAAAAACAATTAGAAATAAAAATAAAACCGATTCCCCGGCAACGGCGCCAAATTTTGACAGGCTAAAGTCGTATCACCTAATCAAAAGTAATTCCTAAGACCTCTAACTGATAATAGATAGGGAAGTAGGGTCAAATACACAGGGAAACATCGTTCTTCTATTCCTAATTAATTATTATAATCTAAATTATTAGGGAACAAGTAAGATTGTGGGAATTATACTATGATAATAATTAAATAAGGGAACAATCAATAATAAAAAGCCTAGGGTCACATTTTCACCAATATTTAATACTCCCGGATAAAACATAACAATTAACGATTAATATTGCAAACATAACATGATTAACAGGCTCTCACAATTTATTAATCAACATAGACCTAACAGGCTCTCGCAATTTACTAGATCTAAGTTTCTATTGAAAATAGGCTTTAATATCAAATTAACATCTGCTCGATTCATCAATTCAATATTGCTATACTTTTACAATCAAATCACATCTGCTCGATTCATAATCCAATTGTAAAGAATTAAAACAGTTCAATAAGAAATTATCATGCAATATCAAAAATCAACCAAAACAATTCATCCCTTCATATTAATTATGGATCCCCCAAGAACCCTAGAATTAAACTAGTCATGCATAATTGAATCTACACTAATCAAAGCATATATGGAAGGCATGATTAAAATCAAAACACAAATTAACAAAGCAATTCAAATCAAAGAAATAAATAAAGCAATAAAAGATGCGAGAAATAATACCGAATGAAGGAAATATGAAATTGCACTAAAAGGGGAAAACTTAAGTTCAACAATAATCACCAACTAAAATCTCTCTAAAAGTTTTAAGCATGAGAGAAATAATAATGGAAAACATAGCTATTAAAGCTTACAAAAAGAACTTAAATACTAAGCCTAAAATTAGCCAAAATGACGAGTCTTAAGACTCCCAGGAAAAACACGCGCCCGATCGGGCAAAGAGCCGCCCGATCAGGCCCGCCTTTTTTCTTCTAACCGCCTTTCTGGGCATTTGCCCGATCAGGCCGGGTCTTTTTCTTGGCCGAGTTTTCTTTCTTCTTTTCCTTTGGGCTTCAATTGCTTGAGGCCCAAATTCTTCTTATTCCTAGGTTCATTGCTTGGATCAATTCCATGGACCAAGCCCTTAATCACCAATTTGATCAGTCTTGGGCTACGATCAACGGTCATGAATGTGACAAAAGCTTCGATATCTCGTAGTGGCCCGAAAACCATAGAAATTATTAACAAATCCGGGAAATTCCTACAAAAAAATGCCTATTCTATAAAACACTCGAAACCACACATTAGTACTAAAGGTAGCCCCGAAAAGCTCAAATATGCATAAAAATGACCGTGGGACGGGGGATAAAATAGCATGTAAAATACATATATCAATGGTTATTCCACCTTTCTTTGGAACCACATGAACCGGGCTAACCCACTTGCTATCGGAGATAGCATAAATAATGCCCGCTTCACGCAATTTCAAAATTTCCTTCTTGACAACCTCTTGGAGGTTGGGGTTCAACCTCCTTTGAGGTTCAATCGAGGTGGATTGATCATGTTCAAATTGAATACGATGCATGCACAAAGAGGGGGTAATACCCTTGATATTATACCCTATCACATCTCTATATTTTCTCAACACAATAAGCAATTTTTCCAAATCAAGACCATCAAGGGTAGTACTGACAATAATAGGGTATTCCCCTTTATTTCTAAGATAAGCATATTTCAAAGAAGGGGGAAGGGGTTTGAGTTCTACCTTGGGAGGAGGCTTGGAACTCTCCTCCAATTTCTCTTCCTTTTTCTCAAGCTCAACTTCTTGTTGTTGTTCAACCTCTTCCTCCTTAGGAGCTTCTTCCATGGCCATGACAAACTCTTTTGCCTCTTGAAAGTGGTACTCTTCTTTGCATGTAAGAGCTTCAACCATTGGATCTTGAGGCTTCATCATGACACACATATACCCAGTCATTGGTACGCAAATCCTTATATTGAAATTTCACTTTATAGTACAGTATCACCACTGAATATCAACAACCATTTTTACATCACACTTTAATATGCTCTACTAATTTCAGAAAGGTTAATCATTTTATTTGTAAGTACATGTACATTTGTGATTTATTCATGGAAAATAACAGGGATAGGCTTTTTGGTTGATGTGTCATATGCATTATTTTAAATGCCTAAATCTTTTTCAAAACATGGATTAGTTGCAATTTGAGGGAGAAACGACACAAGCCCAGAGTGTAAGTTATCAAGAAGATTGGAGAAAACAAATAATTATTTTTTCTTGTACTTTACTGCTATTAGTTCAAAATATCTAACATCTAAAAAAAAAAATTTGGCAGCACCTCCCCAGTAAATTGACCACTGCCTGACATAAAGTCGTCTTAAAAAAAAACAACTCAAAGCCACACAGCAATTAACCAGTATTTTGCTTCTCCCACACTTAATCTCTAATTGTCCTCAATGAAAAAGAAATGAAGAAAAAGAAGAAGAAACTTAGTTGGTTTAGTAGATTATGAGATTTCATAATGTTTGTGACGTTGTTGCACATTGCGTAGCACTCAGCTTTTCAATGTGCGCAACTCTTCATTCCGCTGCATGTACACGGTTACACTCATAGTTCTTTTCTGATTTCTGAATTTTTTATCCTCCTTAATTCTCATGACCGGAGTTCTGGAGTTAAAGGTATAATGCAGTGTACTTGTGAGATTAAACCGATAGTGATGCTCCTACAGGAATGCACAAATTAAATCCACTGAGTTTATCTCATGGTGCCCCAACAATTAAAATTGCAGAAAAGAAAGGAAACACAGGAAAGAAAGAGAGAAAATAATAATAATAATAATAATAATAATAATAATAATAATAATAATAATAATAATAATAATAATAATAATAATAATAATAATAATAATAATAATAATAATACCTTCAATCTAGTTTATCGTGCGGTCATGTTAAGTGAAGTTCGTTGTCGTTGTCCGAGCCTTTCACGATGGGTTGAATTCTACTACTCTAATCCAACTAGATTGTATTATGGGGACCACACCTTATGGTCGTCTCAGGGGGTGCAGCAGGGTGATCCCCTTGGTCCCCTGCTTTTTGCTTTGGTTTTACAGCCCCTGGTGTGTAAAATCATAGACACCTTTGATGTATGTCTTCAGGCTTGGTATTTGGATGATGGTACAGTTATTGGTGACACGTTGGTGGTGGGGATGTTCTGCATTTGATTATGGAGGAAGGGCCTCGGTTTGGGTTACATCTTAATGTGGAAAAGTCTGAAGTTTTCTAGCCTACAGAGGACCCTCGAAGTAGGCTTGTGGGTGTCTTTCCACCTAATATTGCTCAACCCTTGCGTGGTGTTAAGTTGCTGGGTGGTCCCGCTAGTTCTGATTCCGGTTTTGGAGGTGAGCTTGTGATGCAGAGGGTGACCAAGACCATAGCGCTTATGGATAGGGTTGCTAAGCTTGATGATCCTCAGTGGCGGCTTGCTACCTTGCCTTTTGTGTATGGTGGGCTTGGTGTTTATTCAGCATGTGATGTTCGTCATTATGCTTTTCTTGCTTCCCGATTACAGTCTGCTGGGTTGCAGACAAGGCTTTTACGGCATGCTGGCGTTGTTGGCCTTGGTCGAGCCTTTGAGGATGCGTTACGCTTGTTCAATAAAACGGTGGAGTCTGACATTATGTGTAATCCTAGTGAGGTCGCTGCCCCTAAACTCATGAAGAAATTGGCATATATATATTTCACAAAGGTTACCGCTTCTGCAGAATCCGCCTTTTCTTTGTCTCCTCGGCAATCAGCATTGTGGAAATCGCAGCAGGGAGATCATTCCTCTTCTTGGCTTCGGGCGGTCCCTATTTCTGGGTTAGGTCAGACGATGAACGCAAAGACCTACCGTTGTGTGTTGTGCTACCCGATGGTTGTTCTATTGTTCTCTATCTCGGCGTCGTGCTCTGCTTGTTCTTGGGTTTTTACCGGGGATATTTTCGATGATCATGCGGTGTCTTGTGCTGGCATTGTGGGTATAAAGCATCGGCATAATGTTGTCCGGGATACCCTTGTTGATATTTGCAATAGATCTGGTATTTCGGCAAGAAAGGAGGTTGACATAGGGTTGGCTGGAGGAAATGACGGGGCCCTCAGACCTGCAGATGTGTTGCTTTATTCCTGGGATCGTGGTTGCGATGTTTGTGTGGATTTAACAGGGTCTTCTCCTTTGACACAGACAGGGCTATCTGACTTCGTTCCTGGACGGGTTGTGGCTGATGCAGCTCATCGAAAGCGGGTGAAGTATGAAGCTAGTTGTCGGTTGATTGGATATGGTTTCATTCCCTTCTCCTTTTCTTCGTTTGGGGAATAAGAGAAGGAGGCTATTGCGTTGTTGAAGCGGGTTCAGAGGTTCTCGGCGACGCAAGACGTTGGGGCTCGTGCTGTAGCTCATATTTTCACTAGGGTAGGCTTTGCAATAGCTAGAGGAGTGGGGGCCCAGATAGTATCTCGACTTCCCACTAATTTATTGTAGGTTGTATGACTTTGTGTGTTTTTATTATTATTATTATTATAATAATAATAATAATAATAATAATAACAATAATAATAATAATAATAATAATAATAAAACTGAAATCAAAAGAAATGAACAAGGAAAAGAGCATAATATCCTTGGGTTGCCTCCCAAGTAGCGCCTTTGGTTTAGGTCGTTGGCTCGACATTCCTCTCTTCATGCTTGTTCAAATAAAATGTCTTCAATCATGGTCACATAAGCTTGATCATAGAATGGTTTTAACCTATAACCAATAACCTTGAAAGTTTTGTTAGTATTGAAATCTTTGATTTCAACTGCACCATGAGGAAAAACATTAGTAACAACAAAGGGGCCAAGCCATCTAGTTTGTAATTTTCCTGGAAATAATTTCAAGCGAGCATTAAATAATAAAAGAACTTTCTTTCCAACCTGAAATGATTTCCTAGCTATGTTTTTATCATGGAAGGCTTTGGTCTTGTCTTTATAGATTTTGGCATTTTCATATGCCTCTAACCTCAATTCTTCCAACTCAAGTAACTGTAATTTCCTTTCTTTTCCAGCAAGGTCATGGTCTAAATTACATTGCTTCACTTCCCAATGAGACTTATGCTCGATTTCCACAGGTAAATGACACGCTTTTCCAAAAACAAGTCTAAATGGAGACATTCCTAAAGGAGTTTTATATGCAGTTCTTTAGATGCCCATAAGGCATCACCTAATCGAAGGCTCCAATCCTTTCTACTTAGTTTAACCATTTTTTCCAAAATACCCTTTATCTCCTTATTCAACAATTCAACCTGTCCACTAATTTGGGGGTGGTATGCAGTGGATACTCTGTGAGTCACGTGGTATTTTTCAAGAAGGGCACCAAACGTTTTATTGCAAAAATGGGTTCCTCTGTCACTAATGATGGCCTTAGGCATGCCAAATCTATTATATATATGACTCTTAACAAACTTAACAACCGTTTTAGCATCATCGGTTATTACAGCTTTCCCCTCTACCCATTTAGACACATAATCAACAGCAAGAATGATATAAACTTTACCAAAATAAGAGGGAAAGGGACCCATAAATTCAATACCCCACACATCAAATATTTTACAAATTAAAATTCAGATTGGGGCATTTCATTCCTTTTAGACTGATTTCCAGATTTCTAGCAGCGTTCACAAGCCTTACAAAAGAAATAAGCACCCTTATAAATAGTAGGCCAATACAAACCACATTCTAAGACTTTATGAGCAGTCCTTTGAGGACCAAAGTGTCCTCCACTTTCAAGACTATGGCAAAATGTTAGTATAGAATCATATTCAGGTTTATCTACACACCTTCTAATTAATTGGTCAGAACACACTACTAGAAAGAGGTTGTTTTCCGATGGAATTGCTCCGACGGACTTAAATTCCCTCAGAAAATTTGAATTTTCCGGCGGAATTTTGGTTTGTTGGAAAAATCCGTCGGAAAAGGTACGTTCCGACGGAAAATCCGTCAAAAATATTCCAACGGATTTTGTTTCCCTCGGTATTTTCATCTTCCGACGGAATATTCCATCGGAAAATTTATTTTCGACGGAATACAATACCGAGGGAATAATTTCCGTCGGAATATTAAAACACTTAAAAAAATAACATCCATAATTCGCACAGAAACAGAAAGAGGAAGAGAGAGAAAGGGAGAAAGTGAAGGATCGGAGAAAGAGAAAGAGGAAGAGAGAGAGAGAGGGAGAAAGAGCAACCGGCACCACCGCTCCGCCGCAAGTACGCTGCCGGTGTAGGTAAGTGAAGCTATTTCGTTTTTTTTAATTTAAAATTTCCGGAAAACCCTAACCACCACCACCATGTCACCTAGGCACCACCGGATTTCACCACAATCACCACCGAATTTAACCACAACCACCACCGGGTTTCAACTCAAAGCCACCGCCGTCGAGTGGTAAGTGGTGTTCCTTTATTTTTTTGTTTTTTTAAGTAAATGTTTTCGTTTTTTTGCCCTTTTTCTGTTTTTTTTTTTTTTTTTTTTTGGAATTGTAAACTAACCTGAGATCTGAACCCCACAGCCACGGAAACCAGTCGCCCGCCGGTCTGCAACCAGAACAACGCCCAGCCTGCCGCCAACAGCAGGTTGTTGTCCCTTTGGGCCTTAGTTAGAAAAGGGGGAAACGTCCTAGTTAGTAAGTAATTAACTGTATCGGCATACCAAGGAGTTTTAACATGATATAAAGAAAGCAATTGTTCATCGAGGAAGAAATCACTTATCATAGGCCAATCTTCTCTAGGGACAATCCTACTCAAATGGTCAGCAACTTGATTTTCAACACCTTTTTTATCCCTAATTTCTAGATCAAACTCTTGTAATTGAAGCATCCACCTAAGCAACTTAGGTGCTGAGTTACTCTTCTTTATTAAGTATTTAAGAGCCGTATGATCAGAATAAACAATCACATGAGTACCAAGCAAATAAGATCTAAACTTTTCCAAAGCAAATATCACAGTATACATTTCTTTTTCGGTCACAGTGTAATTGCATTGGGTAGGATCAAGTGATTTTGAAGCATAATGTATCACATAAGACTCTTTACCCTTCTTTTGACCTAAAACAGCTCCTATGGTTTTATCACTAGCATCGCACATTATTTCAAAAGGTAACGACCAATTAGGAGGTCTAATTACAGGAGCACTTGTCAGCTGGGCTTTTAAATCATCAAAAGCTTTCTTACATTCATCATTAAAGTCAAAAACAGCATCTTTAGCAACCAAAGCACATAAAGGTGAAGCAATTTTTGAAAAAAATCTTTATAAAGCGCCTATAAAAACCAGCATGTCCCAAAAATGATCTAACTTCGTGAACACATTTAGGATAAGGCAAAAACTTATTACCTCAATTTTAGCTTTATCTACCTCTAAACCTTTAGCGCTTACAATATGACCAAGAACCACACCTTGTTCTTCCATGAAATGACACTTTTCAAAATTCAAAACAAGGTTAGTTTCAACACATCTCTTCAGAACACGAGTTAAAGCATGAAGACATCTATCAAATGAATCACCAAAAACAGTAAAGTCATCCATAAACACTTCCATATCTTGTTCAATCAAATCAGAAAATATGCTCATTATACATCTCTGAAAAGTTTCTGGAGCATAACATAAACCAAAAGCATTCTTCTAAAAGAAAATGTACCAAAAGGACAGGTAAAAGTGGTTTTATCTTGATCTTCAGGGGCAATGGGTTCTTGTACGTAACCTGAATAACCATCAAGAAAACAGAAGAAAGATTGCCCAACAAGTGTTTCTAACATCTAATCAATAAATGGAAGAGGGAAATGGTCTTTTCTGGTAGCTTGATTAAGCTTCCTATAGTCAATACAAACTCTCCATCCATTAGAAACTCTAGTGGGGACAAATTCTCCCTTATTATTTTCGACAACTGTTATTCCACTCTCTTTAGGTACCACATGTATAGGACTTACCCATTGAGAATCGGAAATAGGATAAGAATTCATCACTTTCCTTGAATTTCGGATGTGTTGAAGAAGGATTTATTTTGAGCTTGATGAAGATAAACATGGAGTTGAGATATGTTGTTTCGGAGCTTCGGTTTTAACGAAATTTCATCTTTGTTTGCTGGTTGTTGCTGTAGCTTGTTGCTTTCTTCAGGAAGTCACGTGCCCCTTTTGTTTCTATTTCTTTTCCTTTTTTATTTTTTTATTTTGCAAGTATCTTGATTCCTTATTTATATATTTTGATGATATAAAATGATTCTTTGAATAGCAACATAAATGGGATTTATTTTCCTCTTGCTTTCCTACCAAAAACACACAACATAAAATTAAGTATCAATTATTATAAAAATAACTATAAAATAAAATAATGAATAAAATAAAATCTAAAATAATAAAAGTAAATATAATCATAAAAAAACCAATATAAAGCGGCCATTGGACTAATATTAGGGACTAAAAATATAGTATATTATGCACTAATCAAATTCCCCCCCCCCCACTTAGTCTTTGGTCGCCCTCGAACAAACTAAATAAAACTAACCTATAAAAGCAATAAACCTAACTCATTGTCGTAGGAATCACGGTTACACTTAGCACGTGCAACAAGCCCTTTAATCCCTTAAGTTCCCCCTAGAGGACGAGTACGGTCTCGTGAGGGTTTGCAGTAGACATACCCACAAAGTCTGTTATTCAGAAATTTTCAACTAAATAGCAGTAAACAATTTTAAAAAATCATTTTTATAGAAGTTTCCCCAGTTTAACTTGACGACTTGCTCGATTGACTTTAATCATTTCTCACCCTCCTTACTTATACCAATTTACATGTCTGAAATCATTAGGACTTTTCAAGGATATCATGGGGGGTTTTGGTAAATGAAGGATATGACGATAATTATGGGATTGTGGTGGTAATAATCTATAAATTAGTAGAGCATAGTATGATTATAACCAAATAATATCAAATATTCCTTATAAAAAGTATTTCTTGATTGCACACTGAACTTTTATGTACACTGCCACCTTCTCTTTTTTTTTTCCATTTTTTTCATTTTTAGTTTCATGAATCTTAATGTTCAATCTATGTTGAATAGTCCATGTAACGAGTGTTCGACCAGTGGCTCCCAGTCCAGTTGGACCAAGGCACTAGGTTTTAAGATACCCCTAAGGATCTACTTACTCGAACTACTCAATCAACAGATAAAAACATCACACGTACTTAACTGCAAACCCTCACGAGACTTTACTCGTCCTCTAGGGGGACTTAGGGGTTTAAAGGGCTTGTTGAACGTGCTAAGTGTAACCGTGATTCCTACGACTGTGAGTTAGGTTTATTGCTTTTATAGGTTAGTTTTATTTAATTTGTTCGAGGGCGACCAAAGACTAAGTGGGGGGGAATTTGATAAGTGCATAATATACTATATTTTTAGTCCCTAATATTAGTCCAATGGCCGCTTTATATTGGTTATTTTATGATTTTATTTACTTTTATTATTTTAGATCTTATTTTATTCATTATTTTATTTTATAGTTATTTTTATAATAATTGATACTTAATTTTATGTTGTGTGTTTTTGGTAGGAAAGCAAGAGGAAAATAAATCCTATTTATGTTGCTATTCAAAGAATCATTTGCTATCATCAAAATATATGAAGAAGGAAGCAAGATACTTGCAGAATAAAAAAATAAAAAATAAATAAAGGAAAAGAAATAGAAACAAATGGGGCACATGACTTCCTGAAGAAAGCAACAAGCTACAACAACAACCAGCAAACAAAGATGAAATTTCGTTAAAACCGATGCTCCAAAACAACATATCTCAACTCCATGTTTATCTTCATCAAGCTCAAAATCCTTCTTCAACACATCTGAAATTCAAGGAAAGTGATGAATTCTTATCCTATTTCAAAAGTTTATCCTCCCGAACCCAAAAATCGGTAGCTGTTTTTGGCTATAAAAACCCCAAAACAATCATCTCAAAAACACACACAACCTAGCCGAAATATAACAACTACAAAGTAATTTAAGTGAGTTCGTGAATTGGGCAATTGGGGAAGAGAAGATAGCCGTTGGAGGGAATCTTAGTCTCGAATCCAAGGTAGAACAAGAATGACGGTGAATTTGGGGTCGAAGCCGGGTTTATTCGACAGTTCTTGGGAGTATAATTTATAAGTCTTCTTCTTTACTTTATTGTTCATATTACTTCTTGTTTAAATTATTTTGATAATTTGATGAAAAACTTGATGGGATTATTAGTATTACATTTGATTTTAAGTCATTTTTCAGTTTTGTTTAATTATTATTTGAACTTGCTTGTAATTTATTGATTAAATTACGATTATACATGTTTCTAGTGTGTGTATGGTTGTTAATTATTGTTTTCTATATGGTTTGGCTTAGTTTAAATCATATAGTCAAGTGACACCTAATTTATATGAGATCTGCGATTATGGTTTTATTTAGATTAGAGAGTAAGTTCAATCTAATTATTTTAGGCATTTATGTGATTAGAATAATTAGGACTAATGATGTCTCCTAGTTTATAATGCTTCCACCTCTAAATTATATGAGTTGCGATCATATTTGTATAAGTTAGAATGGTTTAGAGTCAACTTGGCTTAATTCGTAATTAACTAAACTTAAGGGATGATAGGGAGTCTTTGTTATCTTAGGCTCTAAAGTTAGTCTAGTAATTATAATTGGTGGTACTCAAGGCGAATTGTATGTTATTGCCAATAAACTATATCAAGTAAGAGCTATTCAATGGAATGGTTAGTTGTGTCGTCAATAGTAGTTTGGTTCCGTATTAGTTTTATTAGTTTAGTATCATCTTAAACAAACCCTCCCCCTCCCCCCCCCATTTTATGTACATATGTAAATAAATGTATAGTATGTAAATTTCCGTAATATATTGTAATTTAGTTAAAAGTTGATTTAAGAGTTAAAAGTCTCCTCGTGGGATCGACCCTTGCTTACCCTTTTACTAGTTGTTAATATTTTTGAAGGTTAAGTTAGGAAAATAAATATTTAATTTTATACGGTAAACGACACGTATCAAAATTTGGCGCCTTTGTCGGGGAGATTAATTTTAGTTCTTAATTAAAAAAAAAAAAAAGTTTTACTAATTTGCTATTGTTTGCTAGTATGACGATTGATTATGTCTCGTGAATTTAGCTTATTAACCAATGGAAATATAAATGATATGCAAATGAGTCATAGTGATATTGCATGTTTACTGGCCAATTTTTATTAACTCATATAAAAGTGGGTACGAAGACAAGAATATGTCATGTTTACTTATCAGTTTTTGCATGATATATACCTGTATCTTTGAGGTAATTGGGCTCCACCAATGAAAAATATCACCATATAGTTCCTGTTCACGTAGAAAAGTTAATTGAATGAACATTTTATGATCTTGCCCTTATTCTTGATGTTCTGTGTTTGATCAGAGTATAATATTGTAAGAATTGTTCTTAAACCTCTATTTTAGCATGTGTGGATCGGTCTAGCTGATGTATCATGCATGTATCATATGTCCTGGGAGTTTCCAGAAACATCTGACAGTGTATAAACTGGAGTAAAAGATATTTCTTGCACTTGAACTTTGAGTTATTAATCTACAGAAAAGTCCTATGAGATGCTAAAAGTTGACTGATACATTAGTGTTGGTAAACCTAGTCCTAAATCAGGAGAGCCATCTTGCTAAATAGGTTAGATGCCAATTTGAACAGATTCTATCTTTACATGCTATGTGATTTGAGTAGAAAAGTTTTAACTGCATACTTAGGACTAGCAATTCATTACCTCATGTTTAATTGCTATTGAAGTGACTATGATCACTTCCAAAGATATGTGAATTCTAAAGTCTGATTCTGCTTAAAAAAGTTTCTGAAGGTCTGACATGATAAGTAACTTGCTGATTTCTTTGGCATTATTTTATCTGTCCAACATCATGGTCATATGCTATGAAATTTCCAGGGATCTCTGAAAGTAAGGTTATCTGAGTAATATAATCTGATTGGAATTATTTTTTAGTAAAATGTGAGCAGGATTTATTTTGGGAATTTTCATATGAACTAATTTAATGGAATTGCATAATATATATCTTGATATACCCAGCTGCCTGATGCTTAATTGTTACTAAAATTCAGTATACTTACTGCCATAAGTCCATAACTACTGAACTTAACTGCCTTATTTGAATAACTATTCTCTGAATCCAGTAGCTTATAACTAGACAAAACTTATAGGGGTAATGAGATATATGGTATAGTTTGCATTATAAGTTAATTCCAGCCCCGGCACTAGCTCAGTTTGAACATGAAATCAATTTTTGCTATTAAGATCCAAGTTAACAGAGTTTTGACAGACTACTAACTTTCTACAAGATTGCTAGTTTCTTTATATGAGGTTTAAATGCTAATGAAAATGCAGTTTATTTATTGGTAGAAGCTAGTTGCATCTAAATCATCTTATCTTGGCTACTAAAATTTTTGTCCAGTAATGGATTTTTAAAACTTCTGCTGTAAATATTTCAAGTCTTTCTCATAAGTTCTGTTTTTCTTTATAGGTGTGTGAACGCGTACGATCCAAAAGCAAGACTTCTGCGCATTAAAGCATACATAGGCTTCCTAAACAAGGCTGAACCAGAGAAACTGCTTCACATTTTCAGTGCTGAACCAGCACTTGAATTAGAAGATCTGTTACCGATTGAATACAAGAGCATGGCAGAACGAACATTGAAAGAACTGGGAGCCCCGAGAACAAGAGAAGATCCACTTTGCATTGTCTTTTCAGAGCTAGAGAATCCTCTAAAGCTGAATTCAGGTTTCCTTAATCTTCTCCCTAAATTCTATGGGAACGCAGGTGAGAATCCTTATAGACACTTAAAAGAATTTAAGGTTGTATGCTCTTCTATGAATCCTTTTTCTTTGCAAGATCCCGCTAAAGAGTGGCTATATGAGCAACTTTCACCTAGTTCTATTAATTCTTGGGCAGAAATGGAAAAAGTTTTTCTTGAAAGATCTTTCCTGGTAGTCGTATTAGTTCTATTAGAAAGGAAATTTGTGGAATTAGGAAAAATAATAACGAATCTTTATATGAGTATTGGCAACGTTTTAACATACTTTGTTCATCTTGTCCACAACACCAAATAAATGAGCAACTACTAATTCAATATTTTTATGAGGGGTTGTTACCTAATGAGAGAGTTATGATAGATGCATCTAGTGGGGGGCATTAGTAGATAAAACACCAACCGAAGCTAGGAAGTTAATTTCTAATATGGCTCAAAATACTCAACAATTTGGCACTAGAAATGATGTTAAAAGAGTTAATGATGTGGACTTAAGTGGAATTAAAAGTCAATTACAAGAAAATGCTCAACAAATTGCTACTCTGACCACCTTAGTGTCTAAAATTGTTCCTGGTAATGAGTCTACAGCTAGAGTATGTGGTGTTTGTTCAGATTTTTCTCATGCTATTGATGAATGTCCTACTCTACAGAGTGAAGATGTCAATGCTTTAAATAACTTTCCTGGTCAATCTCAGAGGAAATATGACCCTTTTTCTAATACTTATAATGAAGGTTGGCGTGATCATCCTAACCTTAGGTATGGACCTAGACCACCATTTTCTCAATCTAATCAAACTAGGCCATTTGTTCAACAAAATTCACAACAACAATCTGGTTCATCATTAGAGGACTTAGTAAAACAATTGACTACCCAAATTGGACCTATATTATGCACTTATCAATGACCCTTCCCAAGTGATCTAACTCCTCATTCACAACAAAAACTCTATAGCATTTTTTAACCATGGGGGTCTTGAGTAACTTAGAGAACTCAAAAACAATCTTCTCATCGGCCACCTCACATGTAATGGTGTTGTTCTTGCAATTGATGACTTCCTTATAGGGATCATCTCTATCCATTGCTCAAAAACTTTATAGATGATGATCCCTATAAGGATGACTTCACCGAACAATCGGCCAATTGGATTGTCTTCCTTATAGGGATCATCACTATAATGTTTTTGAGCAATGGATAGAGGAATCAAACTAACACTTGCTCCTAGATCAGCTAAAGCACCCCTAGCTTCCATGTTCCCAATCTTTACCGGCAAAGTGAAACTTCCCGGATCTTTTTCCTTCTTGGGCATCTTATGTTGGACAAGTGCACTCACTTGATGGGGAAGAGTGATAAGCTCATCATTGAGCTTCCTCTTGTTGGTGAGAATATCTTTGAGGAACTTGAAGTATGAAGGCATTTGTGTGACAACTTCAATGAAAGGGAAATTGATATGAAAATTCTTCATCACACTAAGGAACTTTGCAAACTAATCATTCAACTTCCTCTCCGCAAGTCGACTGGGAAATGGAACCAGCCCATCAAGATTCCTAGCCTCACTAGGAGTTGAAGTTGTCTTCTCATCTTTAAGATTCTTCTCCTCCACACTTCCTTCTTTCTCAACAACCTTCTCTTCCTCAACTCTCTTGTCTTCACTTACACTCTCTTCTCCTCCCTTCTTTTCCTCACTAACCCCCTCCTTTGGACCTTCGTAGGATGTACCCGATCTCAATGTGATTGCCTTGCAAGAGTCGGTTTTTATGTTGTGGGATGGGTTAGTTTGTGGTTGTCAGGGTAGAGTAGAAGGTGAATTGAAAGGGACTATCTCGGCCAATTGAGCTAATTATGGATCAACCATCTTTTTATGAGCCTTGACCTCTTGCATTTGTTGATTCATGGCTTGAAGTTGTTGAAGAATTTGGGTTTGTGTAGAATCGGGTTGAGATGCTTGCCCTTGGCTCCTTTGAGACACTTGATTTTGATTGTTGTATTGGTTTTGGTTGTTGTATTGGTTGTTCCTTGGGTAGTTACCTCTTGGGTTTTGGTTTTGAAATGGAGGTGGGTTTTGGTATTGAGGATTGGAGTTATATGATGGTTGAGCTTGTTAACTCCATTGTTGAGGTTGAGATGCAAATCCGGGTGGTGGTTGCCTCCAAGCTACTCCACTACCACTTCCCCTATATCCATCTTGCCTTGTGTTTTATGCTGCCACATGCTCGGGGCTTAAACCTCCACAATAAGATGTATCGTGGTTTGTACCACCACAATTTTGACAAGAGAAAGAATTGACTTGAGATGAGCTTATCCCACTATTAACACTCGTATTCGACTTTGCAAGCCCTTTTGTCAAAAGCTCAATTTGATGTTGCAATTGATCAACCTTCTCCAATTCATACATCCCACCTTTCCTTGGTGCATTCCTCCTTCTACCACCCCAAGAGTAGTTCTTTGCTACCTCTTCAATTGTTGCTTCAACTTGATTTTGGGGGATCTTAATAAATTGTCCACCCGCCCCCACATTCAAGTTAGCTCTAGACATAGGTTCCAATCAATCATAGAAGAATCGCATGAGCAAACTTTGATTGTATTCATGGTGATGACATGCTTGTACCAACTCTTTGAACCTTTCCCAAGCTTCACTAAGACTCTCATCCGCTTCTTGTTCAAATGATGCAATCTTCCTTCTCATTTTGGCGGTCTTTTCCTCGGAAATGAACCTCTTCAAGAATGTCTGGACTATCTCTCTCTATGTTATGAGAGAATTTGGCTTGACTTGCTTGAGCCACTTCTTTGCTCTACCCGAAAGACATTGTCGAAATAAGTGCATACAGATATACTCTTGAGAAACTTGATTGGTTGGAATCATGGCACAAAGCTCAGGGAATCTATCAAGGTGCTCAATAAGATCTTCACTTGGAGAACCCGAAAATTGCTCCGCTTGTACCATCCTTGTGTATTGGGGATGAATGGTGAAATTAGTTTCCGCGACGGGTAGAAAAATCCCTCCCGTGAGCTCGTAATCCTCTGGATTTCTAAACTCACGAAACAAAACATCATCTTCTTCTGCCGTCATTGCCTCACTTTGAGAACTCGAAGACCAAGAATCACTCTCACTCTTAACAATAACACCAAGTCCTCGCGTCTCTTCTTGATAAAGTTTACGGACTTGCCTCAATGTATGTTGATCTCGTGGTCAATGTAATGTGTTGGTGGTCCTTCAGACCTCCTTAGCATCCACTAAAGCTAAGCAAACAATTAGCAATGACTAGCAAGAGAGTAAATGAACAAAAACGAAAAGCAACAAATCCAATAACAACATAATAAGAGTGCAAAACTAGTCGTTTCCCCGGCAACGGCGCCAAAATTTTGATCGCCGGATAATCGGTCGTGTCTACTATCCTAAATCAAATCAACAATTTATATTCCTAACCTAACTCTATCAAGCTCACACTAGATAGTGGCAAGCTAGGGTCGAAACACAAGGAAACGGGACATTGCACAATCAAAGTGGAATTAAGAATCTATTGCAAGAAAGTAACAAGGGGTATTTTGATTGTTTTTGTGAATTCTATGATCAAATTAACTGCTAGAAAGATTAAAGCAAGCAAATCAAGAAAGTTCAAACTAGAAACACTAAAATAAGGATGGAAAACTATATTTGAGAGAAATATGATCAAAACACTAGGGAGAGGGGGTTTCAATCATGATCAACTAAGACAACAATGAAATAAACATGGATTCATGCCAAGGAATACAAATTCTACTCAAATAATTCATTCCCATGCAATTACTCAAGCAAATTGATGAAATAGATCAAAACTAAACTAGATCATTCCCATGCATCTAATTTATAACTCAAAGATTAGAATTAAAGGTGCACATCAATAACTCCAAGCAATTTAAGCACAAAATCATCAACTCAAGGCTAAATCCAATCAATCATCAATATAATCCCAATCAATTATGATCTTCACCCCCTTCCCTAGTTAGAAATCTAAGTTAGTAAAGAGAAAATAGCCATCACAACTACACTAAGCATGGATTCAATCTTAACAAAGCTAAACATGATTCAAATTCAAAGGAAAAAGCAATCAAACAAGTAAAATCAAGGAAATGGATGGAAATCAACACCGTCAAAAGCAATTAACCCAAACAAAAGCTAAGAGTAAATAGATTACTACTATGAAGCTCGATTGATGAAGAAAACATGAAATACTTGCATTGAATTGAGGAAAACTTGAAGAAATCTTGATTACAATGATGAAACTTGAAGAGTAAGCAACTTTCTCTCTCTAAAAATACTAGAGTTTCTCTCACTACAAAGTTCTAATTATAATTGGAAAATAGCCCCCTAATAAAATTCAAGAAAAAGTCTATTTATAGTTCCTAAAGAAATCGGAAATAATGAACTAAGAAGAGCCCTCTCAAACAATGTCGCGCCCTCTCCAAGCTGGGTACGAAGTTGCGAAACCCACGAAGCCGCGCCCGCAGGATACTGTTGGAGAGTCATCTCCCAATTGGGGAGAGGTTGCAGCTGTGAAACATGGGAAACAAAGCAACGAATAGCCCCATCTGTGTCCTTATGAGCCGCGCCCGCGGGTGACTAGGGAGAGCCCTCTCCAAGGGCGCGGCCAGCCTTCTATAGGTTCAGAAGATGAGCTCCAATGCATCATGTCCGCGCCTGTGGCCTGGATACCCGCGCTCGCAGCTCCCTGCAGAGCTGCGTGCCTTCTCTGTTGAGCATCTCATTAGCTCCTTTAACTCCATCCAAGAGTGCCAAAAACCTTCAAAATCAACAAAGAAAAGATATAAAACAAAAAAAAAAGATAAAAGAAGAGGAAAATCACGAGAAAGAACAAAAATAACCAAAACAATTGTAAAAACGGCTAGAGAAGGCGCAAACAAGTGACAAATGGGGGAAAATCATTAATAAAAAGGGCTAAATAGTGGCATAAATGCCACTCATCATATTGAAACAATTATCTTATAGTCGTAATCACTATAAGAAGAAAAAGAAAATTGTATTAAGATATTTATCTTAACACTTAATCACGAAAATCTGTCATTTCGTCACAATGAAGGAGAATATAGCGATGTGCTTGCTCTAGACTTTTAGCATCTAAACGAGCACTTATCTTTGCTCCAATGACTCGACCACCAGAATTAAATAAGTAAGCACATGTGTCTAGAATATGATCATTTATTTTTACCCTATAAAACATGGTCTCAAGTTCTTCCAAGTATGTTGAACAAAAGTTAATAGTCTCTTCTAAATGATAGCCTTCTGCTATTGACCCTTCTGGTTGAGCTTTATTAATCACAAACGATTTCAGATGGGCTAAATACCTATACCAAATATAATCTAAGCATGAGAAATACAATTACATATAACCATTAGATAAATTGAATATATAGATTTAAATCTCTAACCTTTCAATAGGATACATCCACCTATATTGAACAGGTCCACCAATCTTAGCCTCCTCTACTAAATGAATGACTAAATGAACCATAATTGTAAAAAACGTTGGCACAAACTCTATCTCCATCTTGCAAAGAGTTAAAACAATTTTGTTTGTATCCATTTAACTCTTTCACATCAAGAGTTGTAAAACAAACAATTTTGAAAAAGGATGATAAGTCTAACACCAAATCTACAATTTATGTAACTCTTGATGCTCGTAGAGCTACAGGTAAAAGATCTTGCATTATAACATGGTTGTCATGACTCTTTAAATTCTGAAGTTTCTTTTGTTTCATATTCAAACATAGAGACAGATTAGAACAATATCCATCCAGAACTCTTAATTTCTGGAATACCTTCAAGAATCTTTCTTTGTCCTCTTTAGACATGGAGTAAGTGGCAGGAAGCATAATTGATTGCCCATTAGGATTAGTTTGAATCCAAAGGTGTGGCTTAATTCCTTCATTTTTCATTCTCTCTCTAACTTTTTCAGTGTCTCGGCTTTTCTTATCTATATTTAGTAAAGTGGACAAAAATCTATATTTTGTAAAGTGGACAAAAAATTGACACACATTTTTTTCAATGTGCATAACATCTAAATATGACGAAGAGTGTTATGCTCCCAATAAGGCAAATTAAAAAATTTGCTCCTTTTAGTCCATAAAACATCATCGTCGCCATCATCATCATCGGCAGCATCATCCTCTTGTCTTCCTCTCTTTTTCTTGGATTTCTTTTTCCCTGTTCCATATGTATATTCAACCCTTTCTTGTTGAATTTTTAGTTCTGTCCCTGGTTGGCGTGTTGGAGAAAGGCCATACTCTTGTTTCCCATCAAACAAATGGGCTTGAGAT